AATACTTAAAAAAAATAGTATTTAAAATCGCCCCACCACTACCTCTACCACCGCAATCGTCGCAGCCACCACCACTACCGCCACCATCACCACTACCACCACCACCACTACCGTCATCGCCACCATTGCCACCGCCACCACCACCACCACCGCCACCACGATCATTGTATCCATCATAACCATCACCGTCTCCTACCACTACTACTGTCGCTCATCATCTCTCACCTCCTCTACAACTGATGTTTAAATTTATTAATCTCTCTTTTATGTTTGTAATTTAATTTTGGATATGAATACAAATATATTTATTGTTTATTATTTTTTATTATTTTGTGTCTTCAGGCAGAAGCAATAACTAGTATACATATATTATGTATATATTAATTTTATTTATATATTTATATTTTTTTAAAATAAAAATTTTAAATTAAAAATATATATATTTTTTCCATCTTAGTTTGGGGTGAAAATTTTCGACTAAATACGATAACACAACTCGAACTCGACACGAATTTTATGACACAAACTTGATTATAACTCAACACAAACTCGAAAATGACCTGACACGCGAACAAGAAATATAAACGGTTGATATTCCGTTCAACCCATCAAACCCAAAATTGACACCTTCAACCCATTTATTTAAGAATAAATAGTTTCTTTATTTTCTCATTTGTATGGTAATACGAAATTAATACAAAATTAAAATTTTAACTAGCATAATAGATATAAAATGTTAATTATTTGTAACTATTTATGAAGCATTGACATATTATTATATAAAAAAATTATTTTTACTCATTATTATTATTATATTTATTTAAGTTAATTTTTATTTTGTAAAAAAAGTATGAACATGGATTCAATTAAGTGAAAATAAAATATTAGCGTTAAATTTTTTTATTCAAAATTTGTGTGAGTTAATACGAAAACGAACATGAACACGAACACGAACACAATACAAAATAAACAGATTAACTTGACACGACATAATTAGTTAAATGAGTTGAGTTAGATTTGATTCACATTCGACACAAATCAACAATGACTCAACACAAACCTGATACGACACGACTCGATTGCCACCCCTAATCTTAGCCATCATAAAAAAAAAAAATCATTTTTATTTTCCATCCATCCTACAAACACAAAGGAAGAAAAATGTATCATTCTTATTTTTTTTCTTTTAATAATAGAAAGTGTATCCTTTTACTTTTCATCTTTCTTATCAAACGAAATATTAGAGAGAAGAGTATGTTTTATGACCAATATAGTAGTCCCATAAGAACATCTCTAACAACAAATTATATTTTAGTTACTCAAAAAGTAAATTTTTCTATTTTAACTAATCACTTTTTTAATACACACTTTAACAGATTTTCTTTATTTTCAACTACTCCTTTTGAATATTATTTTTCATTCCTTTTATATTATTTTTTTGGAAATAATGAAAGGGAGAGAGAGAGAGAATGAAAGAAAGGAGAGGAAGAAAGAGAAAATAATATAAAATATATTTACAAGTTGTGATACTCTATATTTAAAGTATTACTATAGCAAAAATCTACTTTAGAGTATATAAACAACATGTGTTGGAGCATGATTTTTGATTTTGATTAGCTAAATTTTAACTATTTTGATCATCTATTCTCTTGGAGATGCTCTGAAAAAATAGGACTCTATGTATCTGGGACTTTCATGGGCTATAATGTGCTTTATTAAGTGATGCAATTAGCTTTGGAAACTCTCCCAAAAAATGAAACACAAAATAAATTGAGGCACATTATCGGTAAGTGTGAGAGTCAGAGTGTTAACTGAAGCCATATTGCTTAATAAATTGCTTAAGGATTTGTTCAAGTAGAAGTATATGTTTTTATTATATAAATATTGACATATGAAAATTGCTTGGCCCAGAACGTCCACCTCAGACTCGGCCATGGGCTGTTTTCCAGACCCAAAAGAGATGGACTTGTGCCGGGAAGGAATTCCAAAGTCGAGACTTTTGTCAAACTTCAAGCCCATCAAGTGCCCCATTCAGATTAGAGCATTTAGCATCCAAATATGTGATATACCAATATGTTCTTTTAAGATTTATGAATTTTTATTTTTTTTTTGGCTACAACATGTTTAGATTTGTGTCGATTATTTTCTCGAAATTAATGGCTACCACCGTAACTTGAGCTGAGTAAAACATGTCTCAAAGGATGGCTGACCCTTAAACAGTGTGAGAAGAGATTGAACCTGATACCTTTAGGTAATCAAAAATCAAAGAGCAATATTATATGGACCTTATTTGGGGATCTAATGATCTGGTTTCAGGGCAACCATTATATTATTTGTGAGTTCCAATATTAGATAGAGTTCACAACCAATTCAATAATTATATATCATTAAGTCCCCAAATTAAGTTCAAATAACATTTTTCATGTAGATTTAGTCATGTAGATCTAAAATTTAAAGGTATTGTTATTTCTCAGATTTTGGTTTGCAAACATGATGTTGAACTTCATAAAGTCTTCACTTTTTTGGATTTTAACTAATGACAAATTTATGGTTGTTAAATGATATGAGACGTTCGAACTGGTTTTAGTTTTGGCTCATTTAAATTTATGCGTATTTAAAAATATATTTGCCCAATATAATAGAGTTTTTAAGTTCATATTCAACCTGAAGAAATGTGCAACTTAACTCGGTAGGTGTGAACATTATTCTTTTATTATATGATCTTTAAACAATTTTTTTTTTTTTTTTTGAACAATGACAAGTGAAGTATTCATAGGTTCAAAACTCAATCTTTTTCGATTAATTAGAAAAACAAAAAAAATCATAAATGCTAAGTGCCAAACAGGTTCCTTTTAGGGATATTCTTTAGAGGAGCTTCAAAAGACTCGCGTTTCTCGTCCCATCAGAGCTATTTCATGCAGTTATGCTCCAAATAGGTCTGTTAACCCCAACTTTTTGAACCCCCCCCCCCCCCCCTTCTTCTCTCTCTTTCTCACACACACACACACTCTCTCTCTCTCTCTCACACACGCACACACATATTCCTAAATAATTTGATTTTTGTTGTAATTTTTTACCTTTTTTGGATTCCAAAAATACGAATATGCATATCCCTCACTTTTTCTTTTTCTTTTTCTTTTAACGATTTTTTGAGGAAAAATGGTAGGCGAACCTAACTGTAGGCAGCCATAAATGCCAAACGAGATAAGCGTTCTTCCAATGGAGGATGGGCACGTGTGTTGTTCATTGAAGAGTTCCATCATCTGTAGGAGATTCCAATATCCTCCCCTAAACCTACAACCACAACAAAAAAAAATGTGGGTAAAAAGTAAGAATATTCCAAAGTTAATGGTTCACCGTCCCACATGACCAAACCCAGAATATTTTATCGTATTTTACCGACTTCGCAGGCTAAGCTTGGAGGGGATCATTGGATTTAGAATGCTTCAGGTGTTGGCTCAGAACAAAACAGAAAAAAGAAAAGCTTTGTGGTGAAATTTTTATGCTAAATTTTCATCGAATTGTAAAGTTTTTGTTTATGACAACAGCAAAGTATGAAAAAAATAAAAGAAATTTTTTTCTTTAAAAGTGGAGTAATATTAGATTGACCAAAGAATGAAATCAAAAATCGAGAATAAGGTGTCTCTCGTTACACTCTCTCTTTAATTTTGTTATTAAAAAATTATCTACCATGTGTTTAAGGTATAATCCATTATATATAAGTGAATCTCCCCCTCATTAATAATCTATCAAGACAAGTATGAAAAAAATAACATATAAAATGTTAATATTTATTTTTCAAATAATATAAATCTCATGCCCTCGTAATTTAGCTTACGTGGTTAAGTGGATTGCAATACTCCGTAACATTTTTCCGTACAATAACAGGGGGTACGACCTTAAACTTGACTCAGACTTGAACGTACGGGGTGCAAAATCCGAAAATGTGTTGCACTCAACAAAGAAAATTGAAACTTGGGTCAAGGGTCTATGACAGATTGAAACTATCTGGCGGAAATAAAAAATTAATTTTTTTCCATAAAAAAATCATCTGACTTAAATTAAAATGAAGTTTTCTATATCTCTCTCCCGAGACGACGTTTAGTTGACCACTTGACCCCCCACCCCCTCTCTCTCACTTAAATTTCTCTAATATTATCGATTTCTTCCTAATCAATGTTATTGGGACATAATTTAAGAATATAATGAGATGTTATCAATAATATAATAATAAATTTATTAATACTACAATAAAACCCATCATTAAATATAGTCCATCCGTTTCTAAATATATGTCGTTTAAGATTTTTGAACATAAATTAAGGAAACTATTAAATAGCTATAATATGAGTAAAAAATAATTACACAAAATTAAAATATTCTTATTCAATATGTATTGAAAAGGAAAAAAATATGAAAGAAACTTAACTTCCACCTAATCTAATGCATTGAAAAATTAAAGGTAAATTTAAAAGAAAAAATATTAATTATATTTTAATTTCATAAAACGACAGATATTATAAAATAAAAAAAATTATATAAAATAATAGATATTTAGAAACAAATAAAATATTTTATTATCATTTCATTTGGGGCATAAGATCTCAATGTCCCAATAGCATTAGTATTTCTTATGAGATCTCAATTATGACCCAATAGCATTAGGCTTTCTTCTGAGATCTCAATGTCCAACAATCTCAGGCCTCTACCGTGTCCGTGTACGTACCAATTCCCTTCTCTCCACCCCTCTCTCTCTCTCTCTCTCTCTCTCCATGATTTGACTCTTCCCAAACTCTTACAAAAAGGCTTCACTGCAATCCGGAACCGCATTCCTCTTTCTTGTTCGAATCAAATAATCTTTCTCACTGCTCCACTATAGTCACCGCCATCGTCACCACCACCTCTATAAAAATCTAAAACAACACTACAAAGTACAAACTAAGCTATTTATATAAGCCCAAAACAGATTAATTACAGTTTGCATATACCACCACCATATATATATATATATATATACACACTATGACAGTCACAGACCCTTAGGCAGTTAACCTGTTTTGTGATAAACCCATTTGAGACACCATCTTTTACAACAAATCCTCTTGACTTCTTCAACAAAACCATGAAAAAAACCAGAGGTTTAAGGCTTAAACACAAGCTCGTAAAGGTATGTAGATGGTTCACCCATGGAAGAACAAAGCCCAGAACCACCTACGTACGATTGAACCCGTGGAGCTGTACCTCCAGAGCCATGTCGATTCTCTGCAACTGGAGTCGTTACCTGAGAGATGGAGCTAAAGATCTCTGCTTCTCAAAACCCAACTCGGGTTGCATTCGGGTTGACCAAGAACCGGCTGAGACAAAACCGATGAGTGTACCAAAGGGACACTTGGCCGTGTACGTGGGAGAGAATGAAGATGACACGTGTAGAATATTGGTGCCTGTGATATACTTCAATCACCCTCTGTTTGGGGACTTGTTAAAAGAAGCAGAGAAGGTGTACGGGTTCCATCATTCGGGTGGGATCCAGATACCCTGTCGGAAATCCGAATTTGAGAGTGTTAAAATGCGGGTTGCCGTTTCTGCCGGTAACCGCCGTAGATGGTGGAGGATGAGGAATAGTCATTAGATGCCAATTTGGACCACCGAGAGGTCCGTTACTCAGATTTTTTCACCCCTGGTTTTACTTGGTGGTTGGTTTTTGTCCTTTTTGTACTGGTTTGAATATGAATGCGATTTAGCTGTAAATATTGGTTTCTTTATGTTCCAAACCATAATTCTCTGTTTGTCTCCTTTGTTCACTTCTTTATATACAAGTACCTCCTTTTCAAATTTTTTATTTAAATTTTTTCACCTTCCATGAATTAAATATAAATCATGAGTTACAGATTTTTTGGGGACCTATGGGGATGAAAGGAGTGTGATTAAAATAAATAAAATATGATTGTATCACCATGAAGCTATCTACAACTCTAATGTGTAAGGCTAGGGAAAGTGTTTGTTGAACAAAAAATAAAGATTTTTTCTACAGTATTTCTGATTGATTTTTTTTTTCCTAAATATAAAATCATAAAACAAGAAAATTACAATGAAGGTCAAAAATTAAACTTATTTTACGATCATGTACACCTTTTATAAGAGATTCAACGGAAACCTTTTCCAAAATTAGTCAGTTTGGGTTTGAAGTCGGGTTCCGAGTCGAATCTAGGTTTGGGGTTGATTCTGGGTTCCAGGTCAAGTCCAAGTTTGCCGTCTCGTTCGAGTCCAAGGTCAAGTCCAAGTTTGGGGGGTAGGGTTGTTAAATGATGTAGACCGCTTGGGTTTGGCTCAGTTTTAGCTTAGTTTGAACTCACTCATATTATAAAATAAGTCAAATTTGAATAAATTTTTAAGTTCTTTTGATATTTTTGAGCCAAGTCAAAATGAGCTTGAACTATTTGCAAACTGGCTCGTTTTTTCTACTTCTACATAATATACATATAAATTATTATAGATCTTAAGTTTATTTCAGTAAAATTAGCAAAAAATTTAAATTTGTATGTTTTTATTGTGATTTAAAGGTTTTTTATGCTCAAATTTGTGTGCATTTTTTGTGAAAACTTTTAATTAGATATTTGAAATTTATGGATTTAAATTGTTTTTTGAATGACTTGTTTTTATCTTAAGCTCGACTCAAATTCAGTTTGAGTCGAACTTGAACAATATTTTGAGGTTGATAGGCAAGCCTAAACTAAGCATGAACAATCCTTGAATAGTACAACCCAAACCTAAGCATAGCCAAGCTCAAAAAATTCAGCTTGATTAACACTGCTAAGTGCAAGTTTGAAATCTGCACCTGGGGTTAGGTTCGAGGTCAGGGTGGAGGTCAAGTCCGGATGCAGGTCTGGGGTCTACCGTCCCAATTCGTGTGAGGTATGTGGTCGTGTTCGAGTCTGAGGTTAGTTATGGGGTGGAGTCCAGGTCTAGTATATTTTTGTATATTACATGTGTATATTTTCATTGAAACCATTGAATTAATATCAAGTTTCAAGGTTTAATAAAATCAGCAGTCAATCAAAAGGTCATAGTAAAGACACATCATTATGTCAACAAATTATGTCAGATTTTTATGTCCCAACAACATTCCTCAATATTCCATATGGAAATCTACATGTGTTGGAGTATGTGTGGCTCATATATTGTTGTGTGCATAATGGTAAGGAGGCAGATGCTGGAGCGGAGCCCGCGACAGCATTTGCCTTGCGGGATTTATATAAAGGGGACGCTGATTAGGTGGGGGTGCGGGGGCAACGCCCCCGCGGTACGGTACAGGGGTATTTTTGTAAATACGTCCATATTAGGGTTATATAAATACTTAACATGTAACCCTATTCTATAATGGAAAAGAACGGCCGCTCGCTCTCGTGAATGTAGGCACATTGCCGAACCACGTAAATCTCTGTGTGTTATTTTCTCCTGCTTTCCCAATTGTTTGATTCCTTACTATTCACCATAATTGTTGCACGATCACAACAATTGGTATCAGAGCTAGACTACGATGTCTGGGATTTCTTCTACAAAATTCGACATCATGAAGTTCGACGGAACTGGGAATTTCGGATTATGGCAGAGGAGGGTGAAGGACCTGTTAGTGCAGCAGGGCATGGTGAAGGCATTATACGGAAAACAACCGGCAGGAATGGACGACATAGATTGGAAAGAATTGAAAGCGAAGGCTGTGGCGACTATTAGGCTTTGTCTGGCTGATGAAGTGATGTATCACGTCATGGATGAGGAATCACCGGCGGAAGTTTAGTTGAAACTGAAAAGTCAGTATATGTCCAAGTCGTTGACGAACAAGCTCTATCTTAAGCAAAAACTATATGGTCTTAAGATGTCAGAGGGCTCGGATTTGACCCAACACATCAACGTGTTCAATCAGATCATCAGCGATCTAAAGCGAGTTGATGTGAAGTTCGAAGACGAAGACAAGGCGCTGATGTTGCTGAATTCCCTACCGGCGTCTCCTACGTACGAGAATTTGGTTACGACTCTGATGTGGGGGAAAGAAACCCTTGAATTGGAGGATGTCACAGGTGCTCTGTTAGGTTTTCATCAGCGGAAGAAAGCCAGTGATGAGACTTCACAAGGTGAAGGGCTTGTGGTAAAAGGTAACCAGGAACATGGAAGAAGCAAATCTCGGAATGGATCGGGTAACAATAAAGCCCGGTCCAAGTCGAGGAAGAAGAAAAATGACGTCTCTGTCTCGTGTTACAAGTGCGAGAAAAAGGGGCACTTTAAACGGGACTGTCCAGAGAAAAAGAAAGGGGATTCAGAGAACAAAGAGGGTGCATCAAAGTCTGCAAACGTAGTGGAAGAAGAAGATTCAGAGAGTGGTGACGGAGATATGCTTTCTGTTTTATCTAGTTCAGATCGTTTAACAGATTCTTGGATTATGGATTCAGCATGTTCCTATCACATGACACCCAACAAAGATTGGTTTGAGACCTACAGGTCAGTAAATTCTGGTTCTGTTCTGATGGGTAATGATGCATCTTGCAAAGTTGTTGGAATAGGAAATATTATAATTAAGATGTTTGATGGTATGGTTAGAACGTTGTGTGATGTTAGACATGTACCGAATCTAAGGAAAAATTTGATTTTATTGGGCACTTTGGATTGTAATGGTTATAGTTACAAATCTATAAGTAGAGTAATGAAAGTAAGTAAAGGCATGCTGACAGTGATGAAGGGACAGAAAGTAGTAGGAAACATTTACAGACTGCTGGGAACTACAATTATAGGTGGAGTTGCTGCTGTAGAGTCTGAATTAGATAATACAGTCTTGTGGCATATGCGACTGGGTCATATGAGTGAGCGTGGGATGATAGAGCTTCATAAGAAAAATCTATTGAAGGGTGTCAAGACATGCAAGCTCAATTTTTGCAAATATTGTGTTCTTGAAAACAGAATAAGGTGCAGTTCAAGACGGCCACACACAAGACAGAGGGGGTTCTCGACTATGTCCATACAGATGTTTGGGGACCAGTTAGCCTACTATCACGGGGAGGATACATGTATTTCGTGAGTTTCATTGATGATTACTCACGAAAGGTCTAGGTGTACTTCATGCGGCACAAGTCAGAAGCGTTTGCCAAGTTCAAGTTGTGGAAAGCTGAAGTAGAGAACCAGACAGGGAGGAAGATTAAATGCCTCAGGTCAGATAATGGTACTGAGTACACAGATTCAAAGTTCCAGGAGTTGTGTGAGCAGCATGGGATCAAGAGACACTTCACAGTCCGCAAGACACCACAACAAAATGGTGTAGCGGAAAGGATGAACAGAACGATAGCCGAGAAAGCTCGGTGTCTCAGGTTGAATGCAAGGCTTGCAAAGAATTTTTGGGCAGAGGCAGTGAATATGACATGTTTCTTGATTAACAGATCACCGAGGGCAGCACTAGATGGGAAAGTATCAGAGGAGGTGTGGACAGGCAGTGAGATAGACTACTCTGGTTTGAGAGTGTTTGGATGTCCAGCCTATGTACATGTTTCTAGTGAGGAGAGGTCGAAGATTGATGCGAAGTCTAGACAGTGTATCTTTCTGGGATATCAGAAAGGAGTGAAAGATTTCAAGCTCTGGGATCCGAAGGCAAACAAGATGGTGATCAGTAGAGATGTGGTTTTTGATGAAAAAACCATGTTGCAGCGTACTCAGGAAGAAGAGAAACAAGTACCAGAAAACTGTAGCACTAATAACCATGTGGTGCAGGTGGAGCTAGAGAATCATGGTAGAGAAGAGGATGCTCAGCATGTAGAGCGTTCTATCTCAAGTGATCAACAACATCATAGTATAGCCACAGACAGGCCCAAACGCAATATCAAGCCACCTACCAGGTATGATTTTGAAGATTTGGTTTCTTATGCGCTTATTACTAGTAGCGGGGATCCTACAACTTTTCAGGAGGCAGTACAAAGCCAAGAGAAAAGTAGATGGATGGGTGCTATGGTGGAGGAGATGGAGTCTCTGCATAAGAACCAGACGTGGGAGTTGGTGGAACTTCCCGAGGGGAAGAGAGCAATAGGGTGCAAATGGGTGTATAAGAAGAAAGAAGCAGTATCAGAAAATGAGGGAGAAAAATTCAAGGCTCGTCTAGTAGCAAAGGGTTACTCACAGAAAAAAGGGGTTGACTATGATGAGATCTTCTCCCCCGTGGTCAGACACACTTCCATCAGGACAGTGTTGGCACTAGTAGCACATTCAGATATGCAGTTGGAGCAGATGGATGTAAAGACAGCTTTCCTTCATGGCGACTTGGAGGAACGGATTTACATGGTACAGCCAGAAGGGTTCAGTCTCCCTGGAGAGGAACATTTGGTCTGTAATTTGAAGAAATCACTTTATGGGCTGAAGCAGTCTCCGAGGCAGTGGTACAAACGATTTGACTCTTACATGATCCGAATTGGCTACAAAAGGTGTGAGTATGATTGTTGTGTCTATGTAAAAGGGCTTGATGATGATTCATTTATTTTTCTGTTACTTTATGTGGATGATATGTTGATTGCTGCCAAGAGTATGAGTGAGGTCAACAAGTTGAAGACTTTGTTGAGTAGAGAATTTGACATGAAGGATTTGGGTGCGGCCAAGAAGATTCTTGGGATGGAGATTCGCAGGGACAGAGCTTCCAGGAGATTATGGCTATCTCAGCATAGCTATGTTGAGAAGGTGTTGGACAGGTTCAGCATGAGTTATGCAAAATCAGTAAGTACACCTTTGGCGAATCATTTCAGATTGTCTACCGCTCAGTGCCCGAAGACAGATGATGAAGTTCATGACATGTCAAAGGTCCCATATGCTAGTGCAGTGGGGTGTTTAATGTATGCTATGGTTTGTACAAGACCAGATTTGGCACAAGCTGTCAGCGTGGTTAACAAGTTTCTTTCAAATCCGGGTCGACAGCATTGGGATGCAGTCAAGTGAATTTTCAGATACTTGAGAGGCACTACAGACTATGGCATCAGGTTTGCAGACAACAGAATGACCCTTCAGTTATGGGATATGTGGATGTAGACTATGCAGGGGACTTGGATGACAAGAGATCTACCACAGGTTATGTGTTTACTCTTGTGGGAGGACCTATTTGTTGGAAGTCCATGGTACAACCTATAATTGCACTATCTACTACTGAGTCAGAGTATATGGCAGTAGCTGAGACTGCCAAAGAGACTTTGTGGCTTACAGGTTTAGTCAAGGAGCTGGGTGCCCAGCAAGGTGGAGTTCAATTGCATTGTGACAGTCAGAGTGCCATTTATTTGGCAAAGAACCAGGTGTATCATGCGAGGACCAAACATATAGATGTGAGGTTTCATAAGATCAGGGAACTGGTTTCTTCTAGTGAACTATTACTTGAAAAAGTTCACACTTCTGAGAATGCAGCAGATATGTTGACAAAACCTGTTACTACAGACAAGTTCAAGCACTACTTGGACTTGATTAATGTCTCTAGTTGCTAGATGGGAGATGCCTCAACTCAGCGTCCCCAGTGGAGTTCCCGAATACATGTCCTCTTTTTCTTCTAAGGGGTGAATATTTGTCAAGGTGGAGATTGTTAGAGTATGTGTGGTTCATATATTACTGTGTGCATAATGACAAGGAAACAGATGCCGGAGCGGAGCCTGCGACGGCATCTGCCTTGTGAGATTTATATAAAGGGGACGCGGATTAGTTGGGGGTGCGGGGGCAACGCCCCCGCGATACGGTACAGGAGTATTTTTGTAAATACGTCCATATTAGGGTTATATAAATACTTAAGATGTAACCCTATTCTATAATAAAAAAGAACGGTCACTCGCTCTCGTGGATGTAGGCACATTGTCAAACCACGTATATCTCTATGTGTTATTTTCTCCTGCTTTTCCAATTGTTTGATTCCTTACTATTCACCATAATTGTTGCACGATCACAACAACATACCTAGTTCAAACAGTATAACCTATGATGGAAGGATTCCACTGCCCCACGTCATACCCACTACATGCAACCATACAAGCCTCCTCCATAGTTGCCTGAGATACCCCATTATTACAAAAGTCAGCAAATATGTCCATGCGTTCCATGTCAACATCACCAAGCGCTCCACAATATGTCTCAAAAGTTCGAATCTGTGAATCCAAGTCCAATTTAATTAGTAACTTCCAAAAATCATGTGAAACAATAGATACGAAACACACTAGTTTTGTTACCATTGACTTGTGACATTCCCAGTCATCTACAATGGGCGAACCATTTCGTCTAATAGAACTGAAGTAGGAATGAAGATCCCCATCTGCAAAAACAAATATGCTAATGACTTCCGCGCTTCCATCCAAGTGTTTTCTATGCATAATTCTATCCTTTATCTCCTTGAGAATTTCTGTCTTCTCTTCTGAGCCATCTTCTGATCTCTTGTACTGCACAATATGACAACAGACAATATCATAAAGTCACCAATTAGTTAACAATCCAATATTGATTAATCCAAATCACAAAAAAATCTTCCTAGAAGATCGTAAAAGCCTACTAGAAATGCTTCCCGGAGAAACTTCTGAAATTTAGACTTGTTTGGATCACCAAAAGAGAATATGACAATTCAGAGCATGATTGAACATGCTAATGAAGCTGGAATTTTCCTTTCCCTTTTTGGTTGAGTTCAATTTGGAATTTGGCAAATTGTCAAGCCATCAAACTCAACAGGGTCCGTTCCCCTTTCGTCTTTCTTTTGTTTGCAATTTCATAAGCAATCAAAAGTAATCTTGCAATCTCTACAGAAAGAATGGAAAAGACCAAAGCTCACCCTTTCCCACAAATCCTCATCCCTTTGGCTAACACGATTCATGTGCGTGTTGGCGTGGACCAATGAATCCGACCAGTTCGGCCCACCTGCTCTACCAGTTTAATCCTTAGAAGCAGAACTAAGGTAAAATGAAATATAAAACGGACCGCTCACAAAAAACCCACAACAAACTTAGCAATAAAAAAACAAGAGGAAATCAGCTATAAAGCAGCGTATAAGGTTTATGTTCGCTTTCATACAAATTTCTCTCCCAAGCTTCTTTCTTTTTTGTTCTTATTAGAAAAACCAACACAAGAGGAATTAAACTCTTGGGATATCAATGGCACCAAAAAAGATAATGAATCAATACATTTGAGGATTTTACACATGTAGCATCTTGGGGAAAAAAAACAACTAAAGTAGATTAAAATATGTAGAAAATGGCGTTGTGAGTTCACTTAAACCTTTACTTGTTTATTGCCACTGAGCGAGCTATTGAACGATATTTTTGAACAAAAATTAAGCTCTGGAAATCTAAATCATTTTCTGCAAGTACAAAGGAACACATGTCATCCAAACACAACATTCTAATGTCACGAAACAACTGAAATCCAGGAAATGTAGCACTAACTCCAACATCCACCTTATGATTAACCAAAGTCAATAACCTAGATATGGTTTCTGATCACTAAATATGAAATTCCTCATCCAAGCAGGCTGTGAAAAATTAACCCTCCTTTACTTGCTTTGAAAAATGTAGCAACTAAAAGTGGGTTTAAACTTTGTACATAAACCCCTTTCCCACAAACACGAGGTCAATTCAATAATTCAGTCGATATGTATTATAAAAAAGAAAAGAAAAAATCTGATAAAAGAGATTAAAACGTTTTCATTATAAATTACCTTTCGACGATGAGCATAACATTCCCACAGCAAACAACATCGAGATCATAAACACTGCCAGAACAAAACAAAAAAAAACACCGGATGATGCTTTTTCATATAGAGAGAGATGCAATGGCGACAAATCACAAAACAACCAACAAAACCTTAAAAAAAAAGTTTTATATATAAAAAAAAAAACAATTAATCTTACTTGAAAACAAACATACACCAATATGAACAGAAAAAAAAAAAAAAAAGAGCTGAAAAAGAGATAAAAGTTTTCGTCTCGCCAGTGCTTGTTGTCATTATCACAGCAAAATCAACAAAAAGAGAGAGACAAGAAAACCCAGAAGAGAGAGAAAGAGTATGTGCTCAGTCACAAGGAGGAGGACATGGAGATCAACAAAACTACCTAGAGTTTATATAAGGGATGTTTGGGTGTGTAGAGAGAAATTACCGCCAAGGTGGTTTCCTATATTTATTTGGGGAGAAGTGGGAATTGAAAAGAGAATGCAATGAAATTCATTTATTTATTCGGTGCCAGCGAAAGGTATGGTAATGGTAGTGGTGGGACTATGGGCTGGTTGGGTGGCCCATTTTGTTGTTGGTTGTGGCTGTTGTTGGTGGCAGCGTGCGTGGTATGAGCGGGGCCGAGATTCCAACGTGGGGGCAAAATAAAGAATAAAAATAGAGAAATTTAGAGGCGGTCCTATATGGACTTGTTTGGACTTAAATCCGTCAAGAAAATTTATTTGTTATGAAATCTATTTTTTGTTAATTTTATCATATTATCCCTTCCCTTTAGAAGTGAAATAAAATTAAAAATTAAATACTCCTAAATCTTAAGAGTTTGACTAACAATAAAATCTTTTTTCTCTCGTATCTATTTATATTCATATATAGGTTAAAAGTTTGACTAACATTAAAAATAAAAAAAAATTATCATTTAGACACAAAAAATAATACATTTAAACACAAAAAAAAAAAACATTTAAACATAAAAAAAAATTGAAACATTCAACATTAATATTTTTAAAAAATAACAATAGTAACATATTCAACAAAAATATTAACATGTTCAACAAAAATAGTAACATAATTAACAAAAATTGTAACATACTTAATAATAATTATTTCTCTCAAATTCAAACACAAAAAATAGTACCATTCAAATACTAAAAATATTAATATTCAAAAAAAAATAGTAACATCGAATAGTAATATTTAGGAAAATAATAATAGTAACATGCTCAACAAAAATAATAACATACTCAAAAATAATAGTACATGAACAGTAACATACTTAACAAAACAGTAACATGAATAGTAACATAATAAAAAAAATAGTAACATGAATTTAAATTTTACTATTTAAATTTATAGTAACTTTTTTTTGTATTTGAATGTTACAATATATATATATATATATAAATTAATATAAATTAAACTCTTAACCTATATATGGATATAGATAGATATGAGAGATAAAAGATTAACATATAATTTTAAATATGGACTTAGCTCCTTATAAGTTTTCTTGCAGAATTTATCTCTAAATAAGTATATCTAGGATGACTCACTTCCAATTTTCACATATTTTTATTTGAAAATTGGAAGTGAGTCTCCCTAAATGTACTTGTTTGAAGATAAGTCCTGTAAAAAAACTTATAAGGGGCTAAGTTCATGTTTAAAATTATATGTAATGACTTAAGTTCACTTTTTTTTTATCTCAAAAATACTTTTAATTGAAAGGAAGTTAATATTTTCTCTCTCATATCTATCTATATCCATATATAGATTAAGAGTTTGACTAACATTAAAATTTTTCCTATCTCTTATCTATCTATATCCATATATAGGTTAGGTGTATATATATATAGTAACATTAAATAAAAATAGTAATATTTAAATACCAAAAAAGTTACTATGTATTTGAATAGTAAAATTCAAATTTATGTTACTATTTTTTTTATTATATTACTGTTCATGTTATTACTTTTATTAAATATGTTATTGTTCATGTACTATTATTTTTAAACATGTTACTGTTTTTGTTGAGAATGTTACTACTATTTTTTTTTTAATATTACTATTTTTTGTATTTGAATGGTACTATTTTTTGCATTTGAATTTGAGAGAAATAATTATTGTTAAGTATGTTACAGTTTTTGTTAAGTATGTTACTATTTTTGTTGAACATGTTACTGTTGTTATTTTTTAAAAATATTAATATTGAATGTTTCAAATTTTTTTAAATCATAAACACTGCCAGAACAAAACAAAACAAAAAAAAAACACCGGATGATGCTTTTTCATATAGAGAGAGATGCAATGGCGACAAATCACAAAACAACCAACAAAACCTTAAAAAAAAAAGTTTTATATATAAAAAAAAAACAATTAATCTTACTTGAAAACAAACATACACCAATATGAACAGAAAAAAAAAAAAAAAAAGAGCTGAAACAAAGATAAAAGTTTTCGTCTCACCAGTTCTTGTTGCCATTATCACAGCAAAATCAACAAAAAGAGAGAGACCAGAAAACCTAGAAGAGAGACAGAGTATGTGCTTAGTCACAAGGAGGAGGAGATGGAGACCAACAAAACTACCTAGAGTTCATATAAGGGATGTTTGGGTGTGTAGAGAGAAATTACAGCCAAGGTGGTTTCCTATATGCATTTGGGGAGTGGGAATTGAAAAGAGAATGGAATGAAATTCATTTATTTATTCGGTGCCAGCGAAAGGTATGGTAATGGTAGTGGTGGGACTAGGGTGCAGCTCGTCTGGGGGGGTAAGTAATCAACCGCACCATATGCGGTTTAATGGAATGACGCCGTTTTACGATATTTTTTCTTTTCCTTTTTTTGGAAAAATTATAGATCAAAGCGATGTTGTTTCCAATACACCAAACCAGCCCCATCTACGTTCAAAAAAACCCCCCAAATTGAACCAAAACCCTAAACGAGAAGAGAGGCTCCGCAACCCCAACACGGAGATCACAAACTCCAACCCCAACATCAGGTATTTTTCATAGGTTCTTCGATTGTTCAGTTCGTGTGTGTGTTCGTCTATATATATATATATTGATCGAAGTTCTATTCGTATGGTAAGTTTGATTGTGATGCGTTCCGTGACTTTGTACTGGAATCGATGTAGTTGAGCCTTGTGGTTGAATCAGCAATTAAAATGTTGTGGTTTTGATTGACAGTAATTTAAGAATGAGTGGACACATATACATGATAAAGTTTGAGTTTTTATCGATATCATCTGGATGAAATGTCTCAGTAATTCCTAGATAATATGCAATTATTGCTGATTTTTTACTTTTATTTGAGTGGTTGTCATAATTACTTTTATCATAAAATGAGTTCTTGGTTACTTGGTACTTTTAAAACCTTTTTGAATAATTGTGTCAAAATTGTTTGGAGAAGATAGTCGGTTAGCAAGCTGATTCCTTGTAATAACATATGCTTGGCCAGTGCCAAGTGAAATCAAGTCCTATTTCGTTTTCAAAAAATCCAGAATACAAAAGGATTATGAGACATATTTTGCAGGAAATGTGTATTTGATATCTAGACATGGTTTGTTAGACGGAAGTATTAGAATTTTATACTATCTTGCTTTCAAAATTTACTACTTCTAGTAAGTGTTACCCATTCCGTGAAAATTTTATGAATTGGAATTTCTCTATAGGCAATTTTTATATGCTTCAAATTTTATATATAGAATTCAAACTATATATCTTTTATGTTTGGAATTTTTAAAATTACTTGAGGTGGTATGTGAAATGGAATGGGTTTGTCTCAAGTTCTTTGGAGTTTGGAGAACAAATATAATTCAATCAACTTTGTGAATTTGGTTGTATGCCCTGTATTATGTTTAGTGAAAATGCTTGCACAAGCATTAGTGAAAATGCTTGCACAAGCATTAGTGAAAATGCTTGAACAAGGCTCAATCACCTTATTTTGGTGATGTTTTTAATGGCAGCAATTATGTGGGCATTGTTTTTCTAGTTTTTCTCTTATGCCTGATTTTGACCTTCATCCTCCAACTGCTAAATAAACTCATCTGCATTTTTGACCTTATAACTCAACTGCTACTAACGGCAACCAAGTAAAAGTTCACATTTCATCAAACACTAGCACCCCATCCGGTATGGAACACTGCATCAGATTTTCTGCACTGTTTACATCAAATTTTCTGCACTCTTTTTGAATTAATTTCTGCACTATTTGCATTAGATTTTTTGCACTGTTTGCAACAGAATTTCTGCATTCTTTGCAACAGATTTTCTGCAGTCTTTGCATCAGATTTTCTGCATTATATGCTTGATGCTCCAAACATCAAAATGCCAGAAGTTGATTTGTTGTTGTATTTGATGAAATACCGTAATTGATTTGCAATATTCTGTGTATGTCTAACAACTTTCATCCATTACCTGATAGCTTGTTCGAGCAATTCTACCTGATTCAAGAATGACAGCTTCAAGCACGACAACAAGCAATGAAGATTTAAGATATCGCAATATGTATTGCCCCATTTGTAGCAAAAGAGCGATTATCAAAGTTTTAGAATTTGAAAAAAAATCCTGGAAAACTATATTGCAAATGTCCAGATGATTCCGATCACTTTTTAAGTGGATGACTCCTATTACTCTCCCCTCCTCAGAAATTAGAAATGAAAGAATGGATGTACGATGAATTGAAGACAATGTACGAAGAATTGAACACAATATAATGACATTGAAGTCAAATATATTTGTAGTCACATTACTAGTGGTGATTATTATATTTGTATTTCTAGTGAAGTAGATCTGTAAGAGCAATGATGTACTGATGAAACTTATGTTGTAAATGAAATTATGCGTTTAATTTGAATGAAATTGTGGGTTGTGTATATTGTTGTGACTTGGAAGATCATATTCATCAATAAATATCACATTCATCAAAAAAAATATCACATTCATTATAAAAAGATCACGTTCATCAAAATAATCACATTCATTAAAAATAAATAGTTTTCAAAAAAATGATCCAAGTAAAAGAAATGGTTCATTAAATGATCCAACAAGCAACTAGTAGCCTCCATCTGCATTCTTATAACTGTTGATCCTCCAAGTATCCTTACAAGTTGAATCCTTCATCCATGAAAAATGATTCAGCATCATTTAAAGAATGCACATGTGTTGAATTAATCAGAGTACCCTACATTAATGAGAAGGAGTTAGACAAAGAAATTTGACATATATGTCAAACTACCATTACACTTTGTACCATAAGCTTGAGAAGACATCAAACATACCATAACACTTTATACATTATTTGAAGCATGAGAAGACATTGAATGGTCATATGCTGATGTACAGGGGTGACTGAAACCTTGTACCTGAAATAAAAAAATACTTACAATTATGAAGTGAGTAAAAATATAAAGTGAATAAAAATATGAAGTGAATTAAAAAAATTT